TCTCACCATCAATTTATAGACCCTTGGAGACAAATGAACTTATTTACAAAACAGAAACAGACTCACAGACGTAGAAAACAAACTTTACAGTTACCAGGGGGGAAAGTGGGCCGGAGGGATAAATGAGGAGTTTGGGATTAACAGATACAAACTACTACCTATAAAATAGATGAAAAAAACAGGTCCTATGGTATAGCACAGGGAACTATATTCAATATCTTATAATAGCCCATAATGAAAAATAATATGAAAAAAATATATGTATGGCTCAATCATTATGCCGTACACCAGAAGTTAACACAACATTCTAAATCAAGTATACTTCAATTAAGAAAAAAACAATTTACAGACATTTTACAAAGTATACTGTGTAGAATTGGGTTACTACGAAGGTGTTTTAGGGGTTCCTTAAATTTTTGGAGTTTCATTTCTGAATTACATTTTTATGTTAATTAAAAACAGATGCTCTTACAGTCTAAGGTGTTATGTGTCTAAATACTTGGCATGAAGGAGACATTTGATGTATTAACTTCGCCTGCTACCCTTTTAATTCATTCTAATCCATACCTAAATGTAAGGCTTGCCATGCAGTTTTGATACAACAGAAGATTTTTTTTACTGTTTTTTTGCTATTTTATACTAGAATGTTCCTATTAGTCATCCACATAGTCTCCCCTTCGTATTCCATAGGTTCTGCATCCCTGAATTAAACCAACCACTATTCAAAATAGTCTGAAAAAAAATCCAAGATGTTCCAAAAACAAAATCTTGAATTTGTTAGGTGGTAATGACTATGTACATAGTATTTACATTGCATTAGGTATTACAAGTAATCTAGAGATGATTTAAAGTATATAGGAGGATGTGCATAGGTTATATGCAAATACTAGGGGATTTTATATAAGGGACTGAAGCATCCACAGATTTCGGTATCTGAGGGGGTCCTGGAACCAATCCTCTGTGGATACTGAGGGCAGCTGTACTAGTGTCTCTGTCTCTGTGATTAATTCTATTGTATAATTGTAAAGTACACAAGGAGATACTTTAATATACGTATACATTGTGTCATGATTGCTAAAGTCAAGATGTCTCTCTATCTTTTTTTTTTTTTTTTTTTTTGGTGAGAAAGCTTAAGATCTACTCTCAGCAACTTTCAAGTATATAATATTGTGTCAACTGTAGTCACCATGCTGTGCTTAGATCCTCAGAACTAATAACTGAAAGTTTGTACCCTTTGACTTACATCTCTTCTATTTCCCCCTTCTCCCAGCCCCCAACAACCAGCATTCTATTCTGTTTCTGTGAAATCATTTTTTGTTTGTATGTTTGCATATAAATGATAGAGTATTTTATTTTTCTTTATCTGGTTTATTTTACCAGAAAAAATGCCCTCCATTTCCATCTATGCTGGCACAAATGGCAAGATTTCCTTCTTTTTATGGTTGAATAATATTCTGTTGTGTGGAGTACTACATTTTCTTTGTGTAATGGTTTCTTTGTGTGATGGTTTTAACCCTTATGTACAGAGGAGTGGGTGAGAGGCTGCAGTTGGTGGAATTATTCAGTAGGAGCTTTGGCAGACTCTCGGAAGGGGGTAATTGTTGAGCTCAGATGGTGAAAATTTGACTCAGTGCTGAGGATGAAGCTGCAAACAAAACTTCTCTTCATTGAAGACCCTCATTCATCTCTGCATAGAGACTGCCATGGTTTCTGGTGCCTCCTCACCCTCCAGGGAATGAATGATTTGAAAACAGTAGCTGGGTGGATGGGCCTCAGCATCCTCTTTATACATGTAGATAAAGTGAAGTTCCCCCTGCCTCCCACCTCCACCGGCCTCCTGACCCCCACCAGAAGCTGTGTAAGCAGTAGATATGACAGGAAGGAGCCCCAGCAAAAGAACAGGACAGATGACATGTGATGAGAGCAGCTTCTAGACTGGTTGGGGCATCTTCAGACACGTCACAGTGGAAAGTCCCGGAAGTAACTGGGCACTGAGGTCCTGACATGTGTAGGTTGAGTTTGTCAAACCATCAATGTTTAGATTATGGTGATTTAAAGAAAGTATTCTAAGATTTAAAGAGGAACCTTAAAAAGCTATTACTATGTGGTCACCACTAACTGTTTTCAATTAGGAATATTTTGAGATATATATTTCTATATAATGAGAACAAGATATAAGGGGAAAATGAGATGCTCATGGACATTCCATCTTGTGTGACTGTATTTATCAAAACAGCCTTGTTCTCATTGATTGGACTTACACTTAAATGCTATGCACTAAGATTCAGAATTAAATCTATACATGAGAATTGTTTACCAGATGAATAAAAATAAATGCCCATTTATATTATTTAAACACATATAATATTTCACTTGATTAATAAGTTTCAGTGATTTTTTTTTTTAGATTTGAAAAATACACAGAAAGGTAGCCAGTAGGACCAGAATAGTCAGACAATTGCGTTTCTCTCTCTTTCTCATCTAACTGTGGTGGTTTTGGCTGTGGTCCTTTAACAGGAGTAATTCTGTGAAATAGTATTACTAATTCACCAGAACAGAAAAACAAGCAAACAAACAGCACATCAGACCTAACATAATGACACATCACTGTCCAGGAGTAAGGTGGTAAATAATGTCTGTGGACAGGAAAGGAAAGAAAGAAGGGGAAAAGAGATTTCAAATAATCGATTGAAAACATAACTAAAGGTTAGCAGTTCTCCCTTCTTCCTCGCTCTCCTTCTGAAAACAGAAAGATTAGATTGATTCAAGCAGGTGTGCTTTGAAATGTCATAAAGGATGCCTCTCCTGGTGCAGTATTGACAAGCTGCCTGAGTGTATCACTGGCATTTTCGTTGTACTAGCCCAGCAAGAAGAGTCTGGGAGTAGATTTTCACTTCCCTGCCCGCCTGCCTGCGAATCGCTTAAACAGTTGCAGCGTGCGTGTGCGAGGGGCTTCACTCCTTCACCCGCTAGGTTAAAATGTTCCTCCTCTGGGGCTCTGATGAGTTCCCTCGTCAGATGGACAGGAGATGCACTTTGTGACCAGCTGAACGTCATTATTTAGTTGACTGCCGTCTTGTATCAAGAGAGCAATGACCTCGAAATGCTTGATGCCCACACCCCGATTTTCTTGGTGGGGGATTTATAGGCCTGTCCGGCAAAATCATCGTGCGGTGAAGCAGCGGCATCACTCTGTGTCTTCAAACGAACAGCCACCCCACTGCCGCTGATCAGCATTCCTGGGATGGCGGTGATTGAAATTTAGCACTTAGAGTGACTTAATTGGCACACAGATCTGTTAAGCATATGCCCCCACCACAGGCGCGCCATCTGACGCGCCCAAGGGGTGCCCAGTGCCTCCCACATGCTCACGTTTGGGTAAGGAAGTAAAGAAGTAAGTTTTGAACAGATCCTTGAAGGCGGTCTGTGCAGTGGTTAAAGAGGGATGGCCTTAGAGCACAGGTCCTCAGATTTCTACCTGTCTTGGGAACCTGCCAAGTTCAAGGTTCTTCAGTCCCTTGAACTTAGAATGGACCTAAGGTCCTGGAGTTCCAGTTTGCTTGCTGGGAAGAAGCAGTCAGAGTCTGCTTATTGATGCTCATGTGTTTAGTAAAGCAAGCCCTGTGCTAGCAGAGTGGAATTTGGAAGGTTCAGCATTCCTGGGTAGTTTGCTGCCTTGGAATTCCAGGTTAGAATGTTCTGTGCACACTGTGGCTAGAACTGATCCCTTGGCCTTCAGAGAAAATCTGAAAAACTGATGTCAACATCTTCTGCTGAGTTGGAAATAGCAGGACTGGGCCAACTGTTCTAGGTTATTAGTATCAGGAGAGAAATATGAACTTCAACAGAAAACGAAGCGGATCTACTAGGCTTTTTTCCTTATGGAAGGAGAGCAAGTAAGGACTGAGAACATCTGTGGTTAGGACCACGCTGCTCTGCTGAATCTTCCTGAGTCTCCTGTGCTTTTAGGTAACCAGGGGGAACCAGGTCATGGCTGTAGGTGCCAAATCTGCAGCTTTCTCCAGCGGCCGCATGGGCATGAGTTTCAGTGGATCACAGACTGCCCAGCCTCATCTGTATTTATGTTCTTTGCTGGCATCAGGCAAAATCCTGGGCTCCTTATAAATACTTCGTAAGTGTTGAGTTCTGAAAGCATTAACTAAATAGTCTGGCTATCTCTGATTGAAGTTGAAAAAAGCAACAAGTTAAAATCAGAGGAGGATTTGCTGTGGTGCTAACGAAGCTTCAGTTTCAGTGTCCCTAATTGCACTGGCCCCTTCCCAGGATGTGTTCTTTGAAGATTTGAATTCATTATGTTATATTTTGTTTGTTATGAAGGGCTCCCCAAATTCTGTAAACTTCAGGACCCCATAAAACATAGATTTGTTCCTGTTAAAATGTTGTTTCTTGGTCTTTGTGGCTTCTGTCCAATGGCTTTCCCAGAAATTGGGGGATCAGAAGAAACAGATAAAGCGAAACCTACAGAGGAAAGAAAGGAAAGGAAGTAACATTTAAGAATCTCATGCTAATTGAACGGTAATCTGCATTTATTACCTGTTAACCCCTTTCTGAGAGATAGCATATTGAGGTTCAGAAATGCAAGGTAACCTGCCAAGTCTGGTGTAGCCTATAGGGCTGGGACCTACGTCACTGACCTTCCTCTTTCTCAACCATATGCTCAGTGACTATCTCCTTGTAGCGTGCATATCTGACCACTCTGCTAGTCTTCCCTGAAAGTGTTAAACCCACCAGAATTAGAAATGGGCAGGTAACACTTGCTGCTAGGTAACAGGAAGAAGGTTAGGGAGGGGACCTGGCTTGAGCCGTTTAAGGGAAGACACAGTCAAACCCTTCCCCCGTCAGTGTAAGCGATGCTGCAACAATTCATTCAATTATGTTAAGCGCCCATTAAAGGAATTCTAAGCCCTCCCATGGGCCATTTCAGTTCTCTGAGATTGTAATTGTCTGAGACTAACCTTGGTGCCTTCTTTTGCCTTCAGGTGATTCTCATTTTGACGAAGCTCTACGACTATAACCTGGGGAGCATCACGGAGAGCTCGCTCTGGAGGTACGGAAACCGAGATAATAATTCCTGCATTATTTAAACAGGACGCCCTCGCCTGCTCCCCCCACCCCCTTTTCCTGCTGGGAAGGTTTCTGGTTACAGGTACCCTTTCTTCCTCCGTTTGCCCTCTGTCTCCCTTAGCCCTGGGTTGGCGTTTATATACAGGAAGCCTGGATCCTTACTGTTTGTTTTATTTTTATTTTTTTGAAACATAGTCAGTTTACAATGTTGTCTCAATTTCTAGTGTACAGCGTAAATATTTATAGACCCCTTCTTTTGGTCACGTCAGATGTTTTTGCTAAACCGTTCACTAGGTTGTCTTCATGTATTTCAGTTCCCACAGTTCTCGCTGACCTGTGAGCTTACTGGGGCAGAAACAAAAGAATGGGGATCTTTGCAGAGGGATCAGCACCACCTCTAGGTCTGCAGAACCCAGGCAGGCCACCAGGGCAACACTATTTCCTGACTTCCCTCCCGTGGACCTGCAGACAAAGCTGTGCACACACGTGTATACATGCCTTTATCTCTGGGACTCACGTTATACTGCCTCACACATTCAGAGTGTGCAGTTAATACAAATCCTTTAGGAACAGAGTAACTCACTGGAGACCAGCCCAGAAGAAGGTCCTCAGAAACCCAGACAGCTATTTTTTCCTCCTTTTTTCCTGGAGACTACATGTTCTCTTATTTCCTTTTGTTTGTAAAGATTTGCTTCATTTATCTCCCTTCTGACTGGCTCTTCTCCACTAGCCTGTGCCATGTGCACACACCTGAACCAGTCCCTGAAGTCCAGGAGGGCACCTCCTCTGATTGATCAGGCCTGGATCATGTGATGATTCCTGAGCCTTGGAGAGGATGGAGACAGATCCCAGAGATAATTAATATTCACACACACAGGTACACACTCAGAAGGGACTAAGTGAGAGTGGTTATTTATACTAATAACAGAAAGGCAAGAGCGCTCTTTGGGCAGACCAAAGCTACTGGGTGTAGACCACATAAGATCAGTGGGGGATTCCATTACCTCTCCTGAAAATGACTGGGAGAGACTGGCCACTGGCTCTCAGGCTCAGTGCTGAGGTCTGGGGAGAATGACTCTAGTCACCTGTTTGTGTCAGGTGTCCCCCCTCCCCCCCAGCACCCAGTGTAGTCAACCATGCCTGGGGAGGGAAGGTTGGTTTACATAGTAACAGTTTGGTTACAAGGTCTGCCTCTATGGGGAATGCAGTTGTCAGATAAGAGGAGGATCACAGGTTGAATAGACACCTGAAAGGAATTTGCCGCCCCCCACAAGAAGACATTCATTAAATTTCATTTTTACCTGACGTCTGCTTTCCAGTAAGCCTGACACTGTGTGCAAGAAGCCCCAAATAAATTGTCCTGTGTATCAGAAGAACCCTGGTAGACCAAAGAAAAGGCTTGATTCTGTTCTTTTATTTGTCGTCAGGCATTTCAGTGATTGAACTCCTTCCTCAACTAGAGGAGATCGGTTATGTAGAATTTCTGTCCCAAGGAAATTATGTAACTGAATTAAAGTGTGGGGAGTTTGGTAGGAGCCTCAAAAAGTATAGTTATTTGTTGCATGAAGGGCCTGACACCTGCTGTATTGTTTAAATTCAGTACCTTTTTGTCAGCATCTTTGTGACTGAGTAAGTTTATGCTTTGGTGGATTTCTCTAATGTATGTATATGTATGAAAGTAAAAGTCAGCTTTTATTCTGCAGTGCATCTGCCATAGAAAGTGTCCTCGGCATATTAAAAAATGAAAAGATACGCAGTTCTGTCTCAATGGGACAGAGTCATTGCAGCCATGACTCTCAACCTGAGGAGTCGTGGGGAGGGCTTGTTGGAGGAATGTGAGGAACCACTTTTTCTGAACTGTTGAAGCTCATGTTTAGCAGGCTTCTTTCTCTCTGATGGGGCATTAGGGCTGATACCCCAGTCTAGGAAGAATGTTTCTGATTTGAAGGGAGAGGTTAGTGAAATAAAAGTGGCATCATGTGCCAGTCTTATCAGAACCCCTTTCTGAGGGAGCAGCCTCCATGGGCTTAAGCTTGGAAAGGTGTGGCAAGAATGACCTGCTGACTTTTCACTCTTAGAATCAATTTCAATCTCAGAATCAGTTTCACTGTATATATGTGTATAAATACATGTACACACAAACACACATATATACATACACACATATATACTCACACACACCCATATAAACATGCATATATATGTATCATATACACACATACACATATAATATACCTACACATATTTTGCTTTTCTAATACGCCCACAATAGTCATTTGCCATATATGTCATTTCATTTTTTTTACATTTTTTATTGATTCATAATCATTTTACAGTGTTGTGTCAAATTCCAGTGTTCAGCACAATTTTTCAGTCATTCATGGACACATATATGTCATTTCATACATGCCATATGCGGCAAATGATGACTGTGGGTGTTCTATACTATTGCAAATGCTCATTTTAATACTTTGATAGAAGAGCACATACTTTAATGAAAATACAATTTAGAAAAGAGGGAAGGAGAAAGCAAAATATTTAGAAATCTTCGCAAGTGCTTTTCAGGGCTGCATTTTTGAGTGACTTATGGTGCCCGTATTTGGCGTTTAGGGAACCTTTAGCGGGTATTAACATAGAGGAAGAGAGAGACAGTCCTGGATGGGTCAAGGATGGGACCAGGAGGAGCGGTCCTCATGGTTCTGTGTCATCGGGTTCAGCCCTGCTTGAAGGAGACGAGGCTGCTAAGTGTTGACTCACTCTCTCCTGCACCAGTTTGTATTTTCCTCTCAGAAAACCTGCCTGTGACAACAATCGGAGGCTTACTAGGGGCACAGGCCAGTTTTTATAGATTCTCTTGGGCCCCGCAGCTCTGAGTGCAGGACTTAGCACAGAGACAGTTCTCAGTAAGTACCTGCTTTTGGACAGAGCCGTGGATACTGCGGTATTATCCCTACTGCATGGTCATTAGCATAGAATTCTCTTTGTCACTCATTTATTCAACACCGAGCTATTTATTAACTCCTTTACGCCTTAGCTTGTTCTTGTCTAGGGAAGGGAAGGTGGGTGAGAACATAGATCCACCGCATATAGGCTCTGCCTTCCAGGGATTCATTGTTTAAAGGGACAGAGATCTGTGGGCAGTTAAAACAAGAGAGGACTGGACAGGCATGCAACCTGCCTTATGTGATATACTGAATAAGGTACTTATGCAGCACCCAGAACTGCCAGATCCCAGAGGATGTGAAGCCTAATGTCAATAGACACACCGGCGTACAGCGGTGAAGTGTTGTAATAAAGACACAAGGATAGCGTTGCTTCTTTACTTTGCTCCTGTGTATACTGTCTCTTCTTAGCTAAACTTTACGTCCTTAAACTGAGCACTATGCTGGTTTCATGGAAACAGCAAGGATGCTGTTTATAATGAAAATCATGACAACAATAATAAAAGCTATTTTGATTGAGCACGCACTATGTGTCAGGCACAATGCTAAGTGCTTGACACACCTTATGCATCCTTCCAATTCATTCTTACAAGGTGCTAAGGTCACACAGTTTGTAAATAATAGGCCACACATTTCCAGGCGTGTTAGTGAATAAACTTCAGTCGTTTCACTGCTGATTGATCTTCTAGAGTCCCATCTGCTTCTGGTGGCTCTTGCCATACATAAGCAAACAACATTTTAATCATATATATATAATATATATGATTATTATATATGTATATTAACAATATGGTTTTCAAAGCACTGTGACATTTTTAGCAGTATTTGCCCTATTCCAGAAAAGTCCTGGGCAACGGGGAAATGGCCTCTTGTCCAGCAAATAGATCCATGCACTTTTCCATTGAGCCTGTATTCTTCACAGCTTTTAGCCGCTGAATAGTCCAAAGTGGCAGTCGCCTTTGGGGCGCCAGAGTAGGAGGGAGGCCAAGAGGCAACTGACCTTGCAGTGGTGTTTGAGCCTTAAACCTCGCTGCATCGACAGACCCTGGCTGACAGAGTGAGAAACCGCTCTACCAAATTAATGAGCCTTTGCTCCCTGTTGGTCTTGTCATTGATTACACCTTAATCCTGGAGCAAGTTGTTGATTTTGTTTTGTTTTGTGTTGTCCATTCACCCAGGGAGTCACACTGGGAGGAAAGGGGGATGATCTGACACAGAACAATTAACTACACCTCAGAATCTTCTCTGCCTTACAGTGGATTAAGCTTTGAGATTTGGTCGAGCTGGTGTTTTTACCATCTGGCAGCGAGATAAGCAGAAAGGTTGAGATAAATAAAATGTCAAAATCTAGATACAGTATCTCTGAGAAGAAATATATTAATCTTTTCCCCTCTGTGCCAGGGTAATCAGCACTCTGCTGAGAGGCTTAGCCGGTGGGAAGCCCTGGGCAATTCTGGGAGGGCTAAAGGCCTGTTCTCTTAAAGGGACACACAGCCTGCCGTGTGTCTGTCGTTGAGCTTGCTAGCCATGTGAATTTTCAGATTCACATGAAACACGAGCTTTGGAACAGATCTCCAAAGTTATGCACTTCTCAGGTAGCAATGCCTGCTGTGAGGGGACAAAGGAACGCCATGGTTAAAGTGGAGAGAATGCGCTAGGCTGTCTAGGTGGTTCTGTACTGGGGCCAGCTCTGTGTCCTTATCACCGGAGTCACCTTGTCTCTTCGTCGGTGTTCCTCATGGCCATTATCAAGAGCAGCTTCCCAGTGGAGTCTTAGTGGAGAGGATGGCTGTGGTGCACCTTGAGGCTGCTTCTGTATGGGGTTGGCTACAGCCTGGACTTTCTAGAGAGCTCCAGGCTTTCAGGCTGACGGACGCTGACCTGAAGATGGTGACTCTCGCCAACCCTGTGCGGGATTCCCATTAGCTAGACATCTCTCCCTTCCCACCTTTCAGCGGAGAAGCAGAGGGCGGCTTGGATAAGATTGTTAGTCCCAGTTTTGAAAGATGTTTTGCCATGCAATCCAGCTTTCAGTTAACTA